TTAAAATAACTGTTCTATGAAGTAAATTAAAAACATGACAAAAATAGATCAATACTGAGATGGGAAATTTGTGAGTAAGTCTCATTCAATCATAAGATATAAACAAAAGATGCAGAGGTGAAAGTAAACAACAAAATGCAAGTGTCTGTGGAAAGATTAAATATTAAAGCATATCATATAAAGGTCAATTTTTTATTTCATTAAGAGCACTACGTTTATTAAGTCCTCCAAAATCACTGAGGGTCATAAGCTGGTTTTGCCAAAATGATTCTCTTTCTTTAGCAACCCTACTTCTATCTTCTAAGGTTAAACATTTTATAAAATCTAGCTTTTCAAAAATAATAACCTCTATCTGATCGGATAACTCATTGTCAAACGTTTTTAAGGGCTCTTTGGTAAGATTATGAAACTGGTTATCGTTAAAATGACAAGAAATTTCACAACGGGGGGGGGGGGGGGGGGGGGGGGGGGGGGGGGGGCCAATGACTACTTTTGGGGACTTGGGGAATTACGTCAACGATTTTACCCCGAGTCCCCATGATTTTTAGTCCCCATTAGTCCCCAAAAGTCTCCATTAGTCCCCATTTAGATGATTTTTAGTCCCCATTAGTCCCCAAAAGTCTCCATTAGTCCCCATTTAGATTTATCCTACTCTTATCTTGGACAAAACATCTCGATCGTATCGTTATTAAACTAACTTGAAAACCATAAATAACTGTCAAAAATTCTGGGGACTTATGGGGACAAATGGTGAATTACGTCAACGAGTTGACCTCTAGTCCCCATGATTTTTAGTCCCCATTAGTCCCCAAAAGTCTCCATTGGTAGTCATTGGCCCCCCCCCCCCCTTCACAACTCCTAACCGCTTTCCTAATATGTGATTTGTGGTTCTGCCATCTGGTCTTAAAATTGTTAACTGTGCTTCCTACTGAATATATATATATATATATATATATATCGTCTCGCTTTATATATAGTAAGATGTTCTTATCTGTTGATCCTTAGGTTCAAAGACCACCAACAAAAATTTCAGCTTCCAACTCTTCCATCTTCGGTCCCCACCGGCCACGCCCATATTTTATTGGTTTCTTATACAAGTAAAATATCTAGAATCGGCTTTTTTAGTATGAAGGAGTAATGTTAGCTGTTTAAGATTCGTTATTCAAATATAAATGTCATGAATGCATTTCGTTTAATGTGGGTTTTAAGTTCTGATAATGTTGAGAACCACGCCCTTGGATGGCCACGCCCATTTAAGAAAATTAAATTTCGGAAAACCGTATTATTTTAGTTTTATTGTTTAATGATCTGAATTTTTTTCACATCTCACATTTCCATATGTGATAGTAGTGAATAAATTGATGATATAAACGTTCTAAAGTGCTAAAAATATGGTAGAACTACATAATCTCTGGTCGAAAAATATCGTGTCAATTAATGTCAGTATTCCAAAATTTTGCAAAACTGACATTGACATTAATTGACATTAATTGACATTAATTGACATTAATTGACATTAATTGACATTAATTGACGTTGCATCCCCCCCGTAAGAACAGAAATTTTAGAAGATTAACTATTTAATATCATATCAGCATATTAATTAAAACACTTGGCAAATATCTTAATTTTCGAATTATCTAACGGCGTTTTATCGACTATCTTTCATATGGCTTGATATTAAAACCGGTTTCAATGCCAAAATCTTTTACTCAACACGAGTTGGCGAGTTTAACTCCTGCGAATCCACCTCTTTTCCACTATTAGTCTGCGAAATAATTTTAGACAACAGTAAGTGTCCTGATACTTCGTGTGGCACAATTTCTTGGAAAATCGAACGCAAAAGGAAACCCCTAATTCTTTTCAAGGCAGGTCTGTTGTTTGTAGCCGGCTGCTATAAGCTGACTAATTGCCATGAGAAATTTGGGTAAACGCTGGATAGTGGATATCAGCTGGTGTTCCATCCAAATCCTGAATTTTCATCAGTTCATTAGTTCATAGTTCGAGGCGATAAAGTTAACAGAAGACAGACTTAATAAACATCAATCTGGTTGACTTCCCTAATTCAATTTAGTTCTAGTTTATGCTTTTATTCTTTTGAATAATCCATGGCTGTAATTTAAGTTTTTATAATAAAGTTATTTAATTCGGACAATTTTGTATTCTAAAGTCTAACTAATTTGAATTACTACGTAAGAGCTTTAATAGGTACCGTTTTGCAATAGTCCCGGGACTGTATTGGCAGTTTTTGTGATACCTTTAAGCAAACACGGGAATATAGCTAACCAATCAGCGTTATAGCAAAGCAACTACGAAAAATCAAACGTGCGAGCAGCTGTCACTCTTCATAACATTAAGTGGTCTCGCCTTCGAAAATCACCCCACAATTAATTTGTATATTGGCCAGTCTCATTTCAGACCTGAATTTGATAGACATATGGAATATCGGTTACCGGTCAATGTCTGGTAGGGCAGTTCAAAAGTGTTTTAAACATTTGTTATGTTAACGGCGGCGACATTGTTTTAACCAACTATAATTTGCTTTGGTTGTTGCGGCCTCCGGAGTTTAGTTTAACTTAGATAATTAATTGTGAGTTGCCTCAAGTTGAACTACGGATACAGTATACACCTTTGTGAGAAATTTATGTTTTTTGATATTTTCAAGCTTGGAATTTTAAATATATTTTTATTTCGACAAAATGTCGTTTCCTGCTGCCAAAGCAAATGGAATGTCCGTATAAATAATAGATATCCTTCTCGAACATATCCATATAAGCAATAACAAGCAACTAGCGCCCTAATTTGTCACGTAATACTTTTGACAGTAAGGCTGCAGTTTCAACAGGTACCATGCACCAGCTAGGCATGTTGATTGATAACATGTTGACCTAAACTGCAGGCAGGCCCATTTTCGCTTCAAAACAGTCGAATAACTTTAATGTCATGGTAGAATATGCATGGCACTTGTTTGAGTCTGACGAAAGTTGTGCCTACGAATCTTCGACAGTTATAACATTCATCCCGGGAATTTCGTATGTTGAAAATGCTGATGTGATAGCTTTGGTTGTACGTTGAAAATGCCCACAGTGATAACAAATTTACAATCAGTGCTGCACGTCAGGCTTCTTTTGGCTGTATTTAGTTTACCTCTATGCCGACAAATTCCTACTTTGGTGAGGAGACCATCACATACATAACCTTGATCTTGCCGGACAAAATTCCGGCTAGATCAAGGTTATATATGTGATATTCTCCGAAATTGCGGATTTCACGCGAAAAAGAATTAACGTCACACTGCCGGAGGAATTTCTTTATAATTATAGGTCTGATCTCCTAATCCCATTATCTGGGCGTAGTTAATCTTTAATCTTTTAATGGATACGTTCTTGAAGCGAGACGAGTAATGATAGTATCCCGTCCCCACCGGTTCCGTCAGTAACTCCGGAGCTAGCCTGGACAACTTTATATCCATGATATCACGCGGCAACATCACCCTGGGATAAAAGCCAAGTTAATCTTTCGTCAAAGATCAACGGCAGAACAGTTAAAAGTAAGAAGGAGCCGTTTGTTGTACAGTAATTCTAGAGCTAGTACTAGTAGTAGTATAGTACAGTGCTTTCCGACGTTCAGAGTATAGTTCTGACTAGTTTAAGGATGGGCTTTTTTTTGCCCGTTTTAAGAATAAGTGCTGAGAGAAAAAAGTTTAATTTTTAGAACCTCGTTTTTTCAAACACTTCCCTGCAGGGCTAATTGCACCTCCAAAATAACACGCACATCACTTCGCGAGAACAGTTCCTAAGAAGCTGCCCTATATTTGAGTATTCGACAGTTTCTCCGTTTTTTTTTCAATATTTTGAACACCTTCTGCAAAGTGTTTAGCTGATCATTACAAGTCTTATTTTGTCGGCGTTCAGACTTTAGATGTGTCGATTGAGTGTCAGTTTTGCTTTATCAAATGTGTCATAGGAAAGTTTCGTGAACTGCACTGGACAGGGTATATCCCGCACAGTTCTCTTTTTTGGATATTTTATTCGGTCGTCAGGTCGTGTCTTTAAAAACGGTTATAAAATATTTGTCCCCTCAAAGGACATTTTAATTTTAAAGGTAGCACTACTAATAATTTTAGAACAGCCGATTTTTATGTATTCTATAATTTGATAATTGGACTTTTGGGTCGATTAAAGAACAGCCTGTCCTGGATCACTTTTGTTTTATCAAACCAAGTTGAGTGTCAGTGATGTCATTTGCCGTTTAACAGTACTTGGCAACTAATGAACTAATCGGTTGCTTCATTACAGCCAGATGAGATAACGTTAATAAACGGGTTTACCATTTAGTTTCAACTTTGATCTTTACACCACTGACCACTAGGTTTAACTTTAATAGCGCTTTCCGTCTAGAAGTGCAACAAATTCTTCATATTATGTTATGCGGTTAGTTTATGTTGGTGTGTTAATTAATTATCGATACTTCCTCGAGTTTTGTCATTCGTTCCGTAACTAAACGGCGTCCAGCAAAGATTATCTAAATTCGTGGCACGGAAATGAATAAGAATTAAGACATGAACATAGGCTGCAAAATTAAATAGTTGTTAAACGAATCATGTCGTTATAAAGAGGCGAATATTACTGTTATTCTTCTTCATGACGCGCCGCTTTACTGTTATACTTATAATTCAACTTATGCCACTTTTAGGTTCCATTATCTCAAATTTGTATTTATCCAGAGTTGATCTAGCTGCCATGGGTTAATAATGTGGATAGGGAGCTAGTGTATTACAACTATTGTGTATGTGACTGCTCTGTTATAATTAACGCATAATCATAAGTAATGCATAATTATAATCAACTCCGTTCTGTGTGGACAGAGCCGCGGGCTCCCCCGCTCCAAAGTCGATCTAGGTTTTAACTTTTATGCACAATTTCACTATTATAATATTATATAGGTTTATTTGCACTGTGTCCCCGTAATTTAAAACTAACGATAATTATTTGTGTCACAGTTCAGTGATGTGGGGATAGAGATATGATACAAAGTGACACGTGACAATATCTGTACGACACCTAGCAGCAGCAACCCGTAGGCTGGAAACGAGCGACGGGTAACCTAGCAACGATCGACGGGTAAGGGGGTAACCTAGCCGCAAGGGACAAGTTACCCGGCCAAGATCATGGCTGCTGCAGCACTGACCATTGTCCAGATAACCGCTTCCAGCCCTTCCTTCACAGGTCAGTGCACTGTATACCTGCCTCACTGTCTGTTTGTTTGTTTGTTTGTACGTCTGTTTGTTTGAGGGTATTTTTCATGATCGTGTAACTCTAATTGATATTTGGAAGAGTATGTTCGTTTTATAGATTACAGCTCATAAGTAAACAACATATTGGTGTTCCCTGGGAGAAGAAAGCCTTCGGACATCTGATGCCCTGTTGGGGCTAGTTACATTGCGTTTGATAGACCAGGTTAAGCCAAGGTTTTAAAACTTGTGAATATTTCCTCTCGTGCGAGTAGTTGTGTTATGCGGCAAGTGTGATGTTCCAGCAGTCAAAAATACTCCGTATTAAATTATGGCCGCTTTAAAGAATTAACATATTACTTTCAACACTGCTACGGATATTCGATAGCTGGAGTTAATTATACAAGATAAGCCGTTTCATCTTTTCATATGATTAAAATATGAACGTTGGAGATTGAACATCGGAGATCGACGATGCCCATTCAACAAAATATTCTAACTTTGATCTCTTCTTTTATGAAAATATAACAGACTTCATAATATATATCAACTACAGATTACTGTACCAGACTACAGATTACTATACCAGATTAAACATTGCATGATACGCGGGAGTATTGAAATTGGTGAGAGTACGTCCAAAGCTTAAATAAAGCCACTAGAAGGTAGCAGGTGATGCACAGTAAGCATCCTTACTGCATCCCTAAAGTTTATGAAGGTTGACTCCCAGGCTTGGCACTCATACTTTGTTTAAAAACTCGAACATTGCGTTCACATTACCCCTTATATTACAGTTCACCGCTGATCTAGACAGGCTTGTTTAAGTTACCTGTGATCTTGGTTGATTACTTGAATTTTGCTTGTTGCAAGATCGAAGTTGAAACTTGTTGACAGATACTGTACCGGGTTGTTAGAATCTGTATCCTATGGTTGGCTTATTGGAAATAATTTCTCATTCCTTTCATTCTAAGCCACAAATTTGTGTACATGATACTCACGGTGCCAGTTACGCTGAGCGCTTTGTAGTCAGATATGAGCTGTATTTTTTATTTATTTCGAAACTAGAAGTTTTGGTCACGCACATCGCATTTTTTAGGTTGCTATTTGTTGTCGAAAAAAAGTAGACAATTATAGTGCTATTAGTATTGCTGTCTATTGTCTAACTGTCACACAAACTAGCTTTTACTATGTCCTGCAATAAATCTTCCTACTATAAGGTACCGTTAACATATTACATAAGCCAGACTTTGTTCATATCAAACCCCCCCCCCCCCCCACCCGGCCCCCACTCTGTAATTATTTTAACAAATAACCATTGAGTAGACATATAGCACTTAATAGCGTAACAATCATTTCCGAAACCGTCTCTGATCTCTACCCTAGGCTAACTTAAGTAGTATATGTGAACAATACCTATGCAGCAATTATTAAATACTACCCGTTGATTGATTTAGTTGACACTGACAGGGGTTTCGTCGAACTTTGTAGTTCGATGAAATTACTAAATGTCGTTATTGAGCTTGTTAATCTGCCTTGTTGCTACTAAATGCTACATCGTTTAATTTTGTTATCATTGAGCCGATACATATAGACAGTAAACTGCGTTGCACGGCCTAATCAGTTCTTTAATATGCTGTATAACTTACAGCAGTCTGCCAATGGTACGACTTTTGAAATGAACTTGCCCATTTACAATTTGACATTTGCACAGGAATACCTGCGTGTCTCTCAGTAATTGCATCGTAATAAGGAGTATGCAGATTGCAAAATGTTTGAAACTATTTGCTATATTTAGTGAGGGCGTATATGTGCCAATTTTGATTAAAAACTCGAGTACAATTGTTCTTTGCTGTGTATTCCAATCCCCTATAGAGTATAATTCTCTGAACATCACGATAGAAATCATTTCACCCGAACGCCATATTAATTGTGTACAGCTTTCTTCCCTAGAGTGTTCATGGTTTCTCTTTGTGTTGAACTAGCTCCAGTCTTAAGATCCAGCTCGGCTTCTTATGGCGCTTTCTCATAACTCGGTCGCTACTGCTGGAACTCGAATGAGAAGACAACAATCCAGACTCAACGGTGAATTTAAATGTAAGCATTATTTAATTGAGTCCGTGTAGTAACCTAGTGAACCTAGCACTATAATTCTAGTGGTTTAACTTACATTGTTTGTTTTATTTTATTTTTTGTTGTCGAAAGAAAATGGGAGTAATCCTGGCAACACTAAGTTTTCGCACTGATTCTAACACTAAACGCAGAGGTATGACTTAAACCTGCCTATTTTTGTGAATTCATAACAATGTTCCGTTATCTTAGAATTTAGAGAGAGTAAAATAATACAAGACTTATTTTGACATAAGATTAACAGGGGTAGATTTTTGATTGTTCAGAGCCTAGTCTCTTTTTTATTGGTTCACCCGATTCACCAAGACGATCTGACGGGTTCGCTGCTCTGTCACATGATCATCCCAAGAGCCAATGAGTTTCGAGCCGATAATGACACTGATTTGTGGTCAACCAATCACCGAGTAAGAGCAAATGAAGTGGGGACCGTTTGCCGTTTTACCGTGCTCCAATCAGCATCGAATAAGGTAATCACATATGATATCGTGTCAGCGAATCAGCGTCAGTTGAGATAACGGATTAACGGTATTATGAATATCGACGCAAGTATATAATATTGTACCGTTTTAGTCTTTTATCTCACCTTATCTCTGAAATTTACAAATGTGATAAATGATAAGAACGTTCTCTGAACAGTCGAGTTAAACTACGGAATAGTTTCTTGATAATGGAAAGATAAAACAATGATAGCGAGAATCTGTCCACTGTAAGTACAATATTTTGTTATCGTGAGATTAAAGTATCTCATATAGTTTATCAGGGATATATCATATAGTTCGGGTGTACTGTGTACGACATTACATTACATCTCAAAATGTTCAATTACCTCCGGTCAAGACCTAAAACAAAACACAGAATTACACTTAAACGTAAACCGGACCCTATTGTATTGTATTGTATCAGATGCCATCATATGGAGTAGATGGTCTCCTGCACCTTTTCCGCCTTCGACCGGACCCTAACAGCTAGCAGCTAGCTATTACATCAATTATCGTTAAATAAGAATTATAAAAACTTGACTGTCAATTGTTATGGTATTGGTATAGCCACTCTGGAGTGGGTCCGAGCAGTAGACTCGCGCTACTGACACCCGGGAATGGTAATGCACGGATACAGTTAACGCCGTGTAGCAAGAGCTTCAGAGGATCCTGCCTGCTGCAGGTATGCTGAGTGGCAGATGCGACAAGCGCACTACTTCCAGCGGACATCAAGATGGCAGTCTGGCCATCAGAGTTATTCAGAACACTCTCCCTTTTAACTAGAAACATGTTGATGTCACAGTTTCTAGCCTACTTCTGCTGTAAGAACCTCCTCACAGCTTGATGACTTTGGGTTCTGTGTACTGAGGCACAAAACCCCCCTATTTTACTCTCCCTCACTGTCTGTGTGTGGCTGCAGACCCTCAGTTCTCTTATCAGTCATTTTTTGGTTGCCTGAGATCTTGGACTTGTTGCTAGTGGGCTACCAACCCCTAGCTTTACTCTGGTACTCGCAAAGTTTTTTGCCACGCACCCGTTTATCAACATTACAACGAACTAAACAACTACAGCACTAGGGTTCCAGCCCCTACCTCTCCTTCTGATAGTCCAGCTCATGATGACGCTGCACCTTTAAACCCTTCGGGGAGAGAAGCAGCTGATGGTATCTGGGTTAAAAGAAGGACCATCAAAAAACCAAAAATTAACAAAAAAATCTCAGAATCCTTTTACCTTTCTACTTACAATGTAAGATCTCTCACTGAAGAATGGAAGCAATGGGAACTTGTGTGCAAAGCCAAAGCCTTTGACATACCTGTGATTGCACTTCAAGAGCATCGTATTAAGAAGACTCCTTATATAATGCGTGATGGCTACAAGTTCCTCCTAGCATCTCCTCCCCCTAAAAGTAGAACGCTCCTCGGACTTGGCTTCCTCCTTTCCCCTTGGGCCCAACAATGCTACATCGACCATAACGTCTTCTCAGACAGGATAATGTCTGTTTCTTTTACCGGTGAAGTTTGCACACACTTAGTTACTTGTCATTCACCTACTAATGTATCTACAGACCTTGAAGTTGAACAGTTCTATGCAGAGTTAACTTCTTGTGTCCGATCTTTTCCACCTCATGACGTAGTAGCTATAGCTGGCGACCTGAATGCTCACCTCGGAAAAGACACCTGCAACACCAACGCATTTTATGAATGTACAAACCGAAACGGACAGCATCTTCTTGATTTTGCCCAAGAAAACGCTTTCACCATTGGTGCGCTAAAGTTTAACAAAAAGCATTCTAAAAAGGTGACTTGGACAGCACCAAATGGTCAACTGCATCAGAATGACCACATCCTCATTCGCTCAAAATGGCAGAATTCACTTAAAAACTGTGAGTCATACATTAATCCATCGGTTCAATCTGACCATCGGATTGTCACAGCGACTATCAAACTGTCAATAAGGACCAACATCGTCCGACCTAAGGTAATCAAGTATGACTGGGAGGAGTTAAAAAGTAACACTGCAACTTCAACAGCCTTCCAACTCCAGCTCCAGAACAGGTTCACTGCCTTAATGGATGAAGAGAACGAGACTGATGACCTCGTCCAACACAACCAGCATGCATACACCAACATGATAAGTGCTATTAATGACACAGCAGAGAAAGTACTTCCCAAAAGGAAGAAGACTAGTCTAACTGCTCAGATTTCATCTAATCCTGAGTACCGAGCTGCTGTCAAGGCACGAGATGCTGCGTTGAAAGATAGTCACAAAAGAAAGACACGAGCTGCTACTAAAGCCCTCCGTGATGCCACCCTTGAAGTCAGGAAGGTCGAAACCAGCATACAAGAAGCGTTTGTTAATAAGACAATTGATCAAGTAGATCAGCTGTTTA